GGAGATATGACGATGATCAAATTGGGGAAAAGTTGCGCAATTAAACAATTATGATCATACTTTAAGAAAACCAGAAAGTTCCGATTACTTCCGAAGATATGCCAGAAAACCAGAAATTGATTGTATTTTTTTCTCATATTATTCAAACAGATACAAAAAAAATAAAAAAACACTTTCTCATTGCCACTTTTTGCACTCTAAAAGACACCGTTGAAAGATTTTCTTATATTCACTTCATTTTACTGAATGAAAGAATTCATTTAATTATGGTACCTACCTATTCCATCTTCCGTGAATTAGAATACTTTCCCATTATCACGGGATCGATTCTAACGTTTCAAATTTAGATGATATACAGGGTCATCCTTGATGAGCGTCTGTTAGATAGAGATGGGGAACCTTTGAAAATGAAACTAAACTGAGTCCTTTAAGGGTTTTGGCACATGATGAATTGAACTAAAATATTTTCAAGATGGCGCCACTTCCGCAAATACCGGAAGCAGCCATCAACTTTGTTATTTTAAATAGGGACCTCTTATTTTTTCTACATTTTCGGATTCTACATCGAATTTGGAGTAGAGCGATACCCCATTAGTTGACCCTTTGCCCCAAGGGTCTCGTCGATATTCAAGTTTTGTCAAAAATTGAATTTGCAAGAGTAATTTTAAAAATTCATTGTTCGAAAACTGTGAGGCCGCCATCGAATTGGCCATCAGGCACTTTCCACCAATCTCCAAATATAAATTGTACAAATCTTCAGAAATACTGTGAAAGTTGTGTGGTGGCCACCCATCTTTTTTAAATAACTCCTCACCTTTACATACTAAGATCTTCCAAAGGGTTCTCTAAAATGTCAGTTGGTAAATTGAGGTAACTATTTTTCCCCAAATGAAGTGTACAGGTCCAATAATTTTTCTTCGCCACACAACACCTTGATATTAATTTTTTGTTGTGGATTACTTAGGATGCGTAAGAAGTTGGTTTTCTGGAGACAGTGCATATTTTTCCTGTTGCTCGCTCCAAAAAATGAACTTAACAAAACTGGGGTTTTCACGGCACTGGAGTCAATAAACCACTGAAAAAAAGTAGAGCGTAATCTGCAGGGAATAATGTTTGAACCGATCGGTACAGGGTGGTTTAAATGTGTGGCTCACCATTCGGATCTCCGCAACGATGAGCGATACATTGTAGGTTGCCCCTTTTTGTGTGCCTGAAAAACCGCTTTTGAAACTTTTGAAAATAACCGAGATATACCTATCACCGAAACACTGAAAATGTCAAATTCCGTTTTCAATTTTCATCTTGCCTAGCTTAGAAACTGTCTGAAATGGACGGTACCCGTTAGCCTGCACCTTCTATGGGCACTTCTTTTCGAAGAGTCTGAATCTGTTATCACATCATATTTTCCATAACACACTTATAGATCTAGAAGGTACAGGCTACTAGTTTGTTATTGGATTTTTACGGAATGAGATAGAAAAATTCATTGGAATGCATCGCCATCATATAGCCGCGTTGATTCAGAAAGGTCTATTTACCCGTGGCTGTTTTTTTTGAGAAATGAATGTAAAACATTTTATTTTGAAATGATTCTTGTAAATGTATGTAAAAGTATATAGAGGGTGACACTTCACTATTTTTTTTGTCCTCTATCTCATTTCGTAAAAATCCAATATGGCGGCCGTAAGACATAAGAAAGTAGTAGGTAGCCTGTATCTAGTGTGCTATGGAAAATGCTGATAAAAAATGCCCATTCTCCGAAAAAAAGTGTCCATAGAAGGTGGCAACGGAAACCGTCCATTTCTGACCGTTTTTACTTAGACAAAATGAAAACAAAATTTGACATTTTCAGTATTTCGGTGATATCTCAGTTACTTTCAAAGTTTTCACAAAAATTCCAAAAGCGATTTTTTTAGTTACAAAAAGGGGCAAATTTTCCCTCATTAACCTGCACCGTTACTAATAGCCCAATGTTGAGTCGCGAATTTGAAGCACCCTGTAGGTAATTAAAAGTAGCATACTTAATATTAATATCGTCCACATTGTTATTTCGCCGTCTTTAACTAAATTTTTAATGGAATTGTTAGAATGAGCATAAAAGTAGCTCAAAACATTCATTTCAGTTTCTTCACATAATTCTAAAAATGTTTTTTGACATTCTTTTTAAGTAGTAGGTACATGGCTCCTGAATATACGATAGATACAATAGGTACCAGAAGCAGAGACACTGTCATGTTATCATTTACATAGATAACTAGATCGAAATGAAAGTATAATTGAAAAATCTTAGAATTAGACCATAAAATTTCTTCTTAATTTAGTTTCTTATAATAGCATGACATTTTTTCGAGGGGATAGTTTGTAGTTATACCACCATTTCGTAGGTATGTAAGTATGGATAATGCGACAATCAATAAGTATAAGTGATGTAATGCCCAAATCCCCCTCCCATGAGTGCGCCCCTGATATTTTAAACATCTGATGTAATTATTTTCATTGTTTTGTTACCTCGAATAGATTTTGTTGTTTTTTTAATTCATCACAGCCTACTTGATTAAAATATAAAAAACGTTGATATAACTGGTCTCGTTGAAGAGAGAATTGAAAAATCTATCAAGTAATCTAAAAATCCAATATGGCGCCTATTTAACTTTAGGAGGTTGGTAAATGTTCCTCAAAAGTAGCCATCTTGAATGTTTTTTGACATCAATTCTAAATTAAGCGTATCAAAGACAGTAACGTTTATAAACTTTTTTCTGGGACACTGTATATTGCGATTGGCGATATACAGGATAAGTATCGTATAACAAATATTAATGCATTTCGAACATTTACTGAAGATTTAATTAAAATTATATGGTTTATTCAAACATTATGCAATTTGTACAGTAAATTATACAGGGTGTCGGGTTTAAAACAAAAAATTAACGTCATTTCCGAAAGTCGAAAAAGGGAGGCATTACAATTATTAAATGCAAATGCAAATCTAAGAACTTTGTATGGACTCCCAAGCTAAACATTGAGGCCTATACGCGTTTTTATACGTACTGTACGTTTATTTCATAAATTACCAAGCCACATATCTACCATAAGAATGTGTACGGAATTTATGAATAATTTCAAATCGTGGTTACTAACAGTTTGCGAAGTAGAAACCCTTTTTTTACAGTAGATACACTACTGTTTTCTTTTTATTTTTTTTAATGTTTCAATAATGTAATGAATAAATATATTAACTTGGGTTTTTTAAGTGATGGTAACCTCAACACAATAATAGTTAATGAGGTACCTATCTGCGATTGATCTACTCTTATTTATTCATTTTGATTTATTATTTATTAGAACCAGGATTAGAACATAAAATACAAATTGTTATTTTTTGTCTGTTTTTGTGTACTTATATCCAATGGTGAACGTGGAACTAAAGTATCTATCTATTTCAATCATTATACAGGGTCAGTTTTCTTTTTCATTTTCACCATATGGATTTCGTAAGCTGTAAGAGATACAAAGTCGCTTAAATGGTCAAAGTTATGCAGACTTTTATGAGGGATAATTTTCCCTTTCAAAATTTCTTGCAGCTCTACAACTAACGAAGTTATAACTGAAAAACCGAAAAATGCCATTTTCGGGAATGCGCTGACGTTCATTTATTTTCAAAGATTCCAAAATATAGGTAATTTTCCCTATTGATGTTTTCTCAGATTATTTTGGCCACAACTTCGCTATTTGTAGAACTGTGTGAAACTGGAGAATGACAGCTGAAATGAGTGTATAAAAATAGCAATGTTCAACTAACTCTCGAACGCTGTAAAAAAGGCCAAGTGAAATTAATTTTTAATTGCGAGGTTAGTTCTGAACTTTTGACACTTTCCAACTTACCTACTTACCTTAGAATGGGATTATTCTAGTAAAAATGCTGGATTACTCAGCCTTCACATGAATATTCAAGATATGCGTGGAGTGAAAAGTTGTGTTACATTTTAAGGTTTATAATAAAAATTTGTTTGTTGCGGTGACAAGCTAACCAAACGCACCCTTATAGCAGAATATTTTCAACTAAAATGAAGGGAGAACATTTTGATATATACGTGTAACTTTGGTTGGGGTTGGGGGTGGATTATTATAATAATCATTATTTCGGCCTAACTTTTAATTGGGCTCAAGAAGTGAGCTTTTCAACTTTTTTAAATTGGCGACGTCCTGACCTATAATTTAGTGCGTAAGGGACGGAGACGAAGCTCGCGCATCGCTTGAAGTCGGAGCGAAAATGGATAGAAATCTGTTGCAGTCGTCGAGAAACTCCCTTCCAGAAAACTTGGAAACTGTTGAAAAGTACGGAATAGTGGGGACTGGGGATGATTTGGTGTGTGGCATGTTAGAGGAGGGGCTAACCACGGCTGGGCCTCAAAAACCGCGTTTGGGATTGGCTATTTTGTACGTTTTTCTCTCTTGTACGAGCCGTAAGTTGTATGTTCCATCTCGCCTGGTATTTTATCTCTTTCCGTCTTACTGTGCGTTAGCTTCCAGCGGCAAACACGAAAATTAGTAGTGTTCCTTGTCGCTCTCATTAGCCCAGTAATTCACCCCAAAAGCGCGACGTCCTTGTTCGACACGTGCACAATCGATCTCTGTTCTTTTTACCGCTAAGCTTTTCTCGCTTCCGAACACATATCGGCGGTATTTTTTCTCTTTTCGCTACTTAACAAAGTAGCGCTCGTCACTGTCGCGCTTATACGACAAGCGACGCGTCCGTCGCATTCTAAAGCTTATAAAAGTTTTAGTGAGGTGAGGGTTACGCTTATCCTTGTCGCACGTTTAATTAAAGCGCGACAAATCACATCCCTCTCTTCGTTTCGTTTCGTTTCAACGCACCTATTTATGTTTCATAAAAAGTGCCCTCCTTGTCAGGGTATAACAGGGTATTTAGAGCGGGGGCGAAAACTAACAATATTGACCAGAACGAAAAAGTTTCAACGTCAGTTAGACACGAAATCTCAAGCGCGTCGCTCGCAATTTTATTTAATCGCGCGCGCGAAGCGAAAAACTTCGCGACAGTTTCAAGTATCCTTTCGGTTCGGATAATATCGTCGCAGCTCGTTACGACGTCGCGTGTCTTGACGACGGCGACGCGCATTTCTTTAAAACGTTAGCGACGGTGGTGAAAACGTGCGGCGGTGTGAATTTTTAGTTGTGTTTAGTTTTCGGTGTCTCGATGCATCTGCCGCCTGCGAGCATCGACATGTACGCGAATATGCAAGAGTCCCTCCAGGAGTATCACGGGGAGTTGGTGCAGACCGGAAGCCCCACGGTCCTTTGTAGCGCGCTTCCCAATCACTGGAGGTCGAACAAGAGTTTGCCGATCGCGTTTAAAGTCGTCGCGCTGGACGACATCCAGGATGGGACCGTCGTGACGCTCCGGGCCGGCAATGACGAGAATTACTGTGCGGAGTTACGGAACTGTACGGCGGTCATGAAGAACCAGGTCGCGAAATTCAACGATCTGAGATTTGTGGGGCGCAGTGGACGAGGAAAGTCCTTTTCCTTGTCGATCATGATCAGCTCCTCGCCGTTTCAAGTCGCGACGTACAACAAGGCGATTAAAGTCACGGTGGACGGTCCACGAGAGCCAAGAACCAAAGCCAGTTAGTATTACCACCCGTAATCCCGACAAAAGCCGTGTTTGTTTATAAAACGGCCGATAAAAAAATCCCGATGCATATGTGCCGTATAAACATATAAAAGTCTTGGTTTGTCGGCGATTTAATGACGTTGGCGTTGTCAACAACTAAAATTTTTATGTATCGTAACATTTACAACCGAATTTTTCATTCTTTCAGACTTTCAGCTAAATGCATTCGCAAATTTTATTGAGCATATGCCGTAGGTTTAATGGATTCTGGGACTAAACAGAAAGTTAATTGCCGATATAAAGATTTTAATACGACGTAAGCACAGATTGCTGAACGTAAACAAGGATTTTATTATTGTCTCGATCCTCCACAGTTTGGCACATTTCTACGTTTTGTTCACTTTTTCAGATTTCCAGTACGGATATGGCATACCTGGATTACCTGGTGCGTTCAACCCGTTCCTTCTGAATCCGGGATGGTTGGACGCTGCCTACATGACGTACGCGTGGCCCGATTACTTTCGCACCCGCCCGAGCTTTCAACAGCAAAACATTCACCCGGGATTAATTAAAGGTAGCATCATGTCTATTGGGATAGGTCAGTAGCTAACCGGCTGCTATTTCAGGCAATTCACCCCAGCTGCCACCGAGCAACCTCCAAGGGCCCGGCGGCGACTTTTACATTCCTCACGGGGCGACACCGCCGGGTGCTTTCCCACCGAACTACCACTCGGGCGGCCTACTGCCTCAGTTACCAACCGAGAGCCTCCCCAAAGTGCCACAGTTCGACAACTTCCACATCCGAACGCTACCATCGTCGTCACCCCTCGATCAGCTCACAATGAAACTATCCCCGACCTCGACGGACCGCACAACAGTCAGCCCGCAGATGAACAGGATACGAAACCTCCACGACAGCCCGAGAATCCACTCGACAGTGGACCACTCGAACTCGGAAAACTCAGACGACGAAGACATCGACGTAGTCAAGTCCGCCTTCCAACCGATTAAACCCGCCAACATCCTCCTCCAGGAGATTCAGCACCCCGACTCGACCGTGCAGGACAAAGAGCCCTCGGCCAAACTCAAATCGCCCGCCTCGCGCAAACCCCACAGTCCAAAATCGCCGAGCGCCACCAAAATCACACACACACCCTCGCAGATCAACGCCACAAAAAACGTGTGGCGGCCCTACTAGTCCCCCCCACAAAGACTCTCTCCCAAATTGTTGCAATATTGTAAATACGAACGAGTGAAGTTATAGTCTATAGTTTAGTCTAATACACGAATTGTGATAGCAAAATTTAGATATTTTTGTACACTTGTAAATGATGTAGAATAAATTCATCGCCGCTGCAGCGGGCGCATTTCGTAATTCGCTAAGGAGGGACTCCCGGGGCAAAGTTACGATACTTGTGCAACGAACCGTGTACGGATGAAAAGGGCTGATATAAACAGACTCGCTGGCAGTCCTACATTAATCATAACATAGGGCTTCGAGGGCTTAAACGAACCCATTCTGTATTAACTCGGGAGGAGAGAAATCACTTTGCGCACATCTGTTACTCACCATTGTATTTCGAGTTTTATATTATATATACGGGGCGACTGTCGTTAGGGTTTGATTTACGATACATAAACCCTACAAGTTCGGTGTGCAGCGTTTTTATTTTGGATTAATCATAATCGAGAGTCGACTCGAGGAATTAAGAGCAGTTGTGCGAGAACCTCTCGTAAAATTCGACTGTAGGATAAATATTTAGATTGCTTCCAATTTTATTAGTTGTTTTTGTATTATTTTCATCGAATGGAATCCTACATTATGCCAGAAAAATAAATTGGGGTTAGATGTATCCACATGCTTTTACGGTAGTTGATTTTTGTTTCCGTGCAGTGAAATAGGATGATGAATTTCTTTTGACAGGTTCCCATCAGTATCCCTCGAATTTAAAATTTCACGTTTTAGGAGCATTAATTTGGTGCTAATTTGTTACACTAAAACCAAAAAGATACCGCTTATTTTGTCGCCAAACTCGAACAACCCGAAAAAGCGCTAAATGATGTAAAAACCAACAGGAAATGTATAAATAATATACCGTTGCTTAGGAGTCCGTGAAGGTGGAGATACCGATACTGCTACTAAACAGTAAACATACGATAATTTGGTGCTCTGGAAAAATTCCAAGACTTTGTTTTATCGCATTTCCGAACGAGTTCCTCATATATCAAAATTTAAAGACAAACATGTAGTTTTGTGACTTGTGAGTATAAGATTTGGTTTCAATGAAAATTTTATCAGTTCTTTCTTGGGTGATGTTAACATAACAGAATTGGAAATTCGAAACCGTTCGCGATTTGTCATATACACAACCGCACGGACGGACAGAAAGTCCAAATGACCAAAATTTAATCGCTTAGTCCCTGGAACATTGCCTACCTATTACTGAAAACAGAATTGGAAAATTTGAAATCGTTCGCGAGTTATCATGTCCACAAACGGACGAACTGACGGACGGACAAAATCATGAACTCGCTTAGGTGCTCGTTAATGAATCGCACCCAGCATCACGGATTTTATTAAAATCTTCCCATAAGTTCAAAAAAATAAAAAAAATGAGTTAAGATTGAGATGTAGGTAATTTCCAAAAAATTAGAAATTCTGGAACGCGTTTCTGGAGTCAATTTGTCAATTAGAGCTCCAAACTGCACAATAGTGTTGTAATAAATTTTGTTTCCGTAATATGATAAGGTAATGGTCAAGGGACTAACCGATTCAATTTTGGTTATTCGGACACTCCGTCCACCCGTCTGTGTACATGACTCCGTCCGCTTTTGTACATGATAAATTGATAACTCACGAACGGTTTTGTCAAATCCTATTTCTTTATGTTGATGGACAGTCATGTCATCTGTCGAGAGAACCACCCTGGATGATTGTTTTAACATTTTTAACACCCTCTACTCTTTTAAAATGCACAAAGAAATCGAATCTGTCAATAAATCCCCTAAATTCGAAAATTTTACACTCTCTAAATCGAACACACTTCTAGAATCAGTGTTTATACTGTAACGGTAGCTCTAAATTTGGATTTAGTTTTTCAAATTTTATAGCGAGATAGGTGGGGTTTTAAGGGTAGAGCGGTTTAGGCCTCACATATCATAGAAACGGTATACTAATCGTCAGGGTATTTTTTCCATTAAAAGGAGCTAAAAGAAAAACTTTGCCGTTAGTAAACAAAGGGGGATAGGGGGAATTCGGTTAATTCCCATACAACAAAATTAGGGTGGAGTCAATTTATGAAATGTTTCTCATTTTCGTGTGAACCATTTAATAATTAGTTAATTACCAAAAAAAACGAGACTAAAAGTTTTGCATGCTTGCGATTGGTATGCACTGGAGGTTGACGTTCGAATAGGTTTCATTCATAGGGCAATTTCGGAAAAGGAAATATATCCGACGGGATGGTCCAGTTTAAATTTCACAAGACAAGTGTCTTCTACGTGTTTTGGCATGAAAGTTAGATGACTGCTTGTAATTGTTCCAGTCTCCAACTGTAAGTATAGGGAAGTCACATTTGCAGTGTCGGTGTTAGGACCCCTAAGGTCATCACAAGCTTTAACGAAAGAAATTAATTTCTACCAACCTCGGCTCCTTATCGAGATCGGTTATAATTTATTGTTCATATCTCGGGAAGATGGTGTCGGAGGACAAGCGGGATTTGGAGCTTCTAGACAAAGCATTTGACAGAAATCAAACATCTGGGCCACTAGGCCGACTTGAACAAATATTTGAATAGTTGAAAACCATTTGATAAGAGAACCGATTATTCCCATTACAAATTTCTGAACACGAATCGATTAAATCACGTTTTGAGAGGAATGGTTAGAGTGAATCATTCATATAGATTTCATGGAGATTTCAAAAATTATTTTTTTAGAGATTTTATAGAGACTTTATAGAGTTATCATGGAGATTTCATGCAAATTTCATGGAGATTTTATGGAGATTTCATGATCTTTCATGGAGACTTCATGGGCATATCATGGAGGCTTCATAGAGATTTCATAGAGATTTAATTGTGACTTTAGAGATCTCATAGAAGTTTCATAGATTTCATAGAGACTGCATGGAGATCTCGAAGAGATTTAAAAGAAATTTTGTAGTGATTTTATCTCAGGTTCATAAAGACTTTATAGAGATTTTATAGAGATCTCGTAGACTTCATAGAGGTTTCATAGACACTTCAAACAGGTTTCGTTAAGATTATGAAAATTTTTTAGTTTTCATAGAGATTTCAAACAGATTTCATTCGAGATTTCATATGACATTTTATACAGGGTTTCATAAGGATGTCATAAAGATTTCATGGAGCTTTTGTTGGGGTTTGATGAGGAGTTTATGGAAATATGTTGAAGATTTTGTAGAAATTTCAAAGATACTTAAAAGATTTCTCAAAGAGATTTGTAAAAAAGATTTCTCAAATTGAATTCTTTAAAGAGATTTCTCAAACAGATTTCATACAAATTCCATAAAGCTTAGAGATTTCATATAGATTGCATAAAGGTTTCATAAAGATTTTATAAGATTTCGTACGAAATTTCCTACGAGATTTCATACGAGCTTTCATGCGAGATTACATACGAAATTTCGTACGAGTTTATTTCGTACGAGATCTCATACAAGATTTCATACGAGATTACATACGAGATTTCGTACGAGACTTCATACGAGATTTCATACCAGATTTCGTACGAGATTATTTCATACGAGATTTCATACGAGATTTCATACGAGATTTCATACGAGATTTCATACGAGATTTCATACGAGATTATTTCATACGAGATTTTATACGACTTACGAGACTTCATACGGGATTGCATACCAAATTTCATACGAGATTTCATTCGAGATTTCATGCGAGATTTTATACGAGATTTCATACGAAAGTTCATATTAGATTTTATACGAGACTTCATACGGAATTTCAGACGAGATTGCACACGAGATTTCATACGAGATTACATACAAGATTTCATACGAGCTTTCACAGGAGATTACATACGAGATTTCGTACTAGATTTCGTACGAGATTATTTCATATGAGATTTCATACGAGATTTCATACGAGATTTCATACTAGATTTCATACGAGATTATTTCATACGAGATTTTATACGACTTACGAGACTTCATACGGGATTTCATACGAGATTTCATACGAGATTTCATTCGAGATTTCATGCGAGATTTCATGCGAGATTTTATACGAGATTTCATACGGAATATCATACTAGATTTCATACGAAATATCATACTAGATTTCATACGAGATTTCATTCGAAATTTCATTCGAGATTTCATTCGAAATTTCATATGAGATTCATTATGGACCCCATGGATCGCATGAATTTCATGGATATCACAGATTCCATGGATCTCATTAATCTTATGGATCTCATATCTCATATGTTTCATAAATTTCATAGATTGACTAAACTCAGATCCCGTTTCTTAAATTTCGCATTTTTTTTTAATTTCATAGATTCTATCTATAGGTTCCATAGAATCCATAAATTTCGTACATTCCGTAGATTTTCCATAGATTTTAATATTCAAAGGATTCCATGAATTCCATATTCCTAGGATGTCATCAATTTCATTTCGTAAATATTACAGTGAGATGTGCTTGATTTGAAATTTCAAACAAGTACCTTTGGCGTATATAGAGACACCGTTCAAACGACAAGTAGCGTTGGCGTATACAGAGCATTTTTACACACAAAAACCAATGCCGTTACTGTTCAACAATGTAATAGTTTCGATGTCAGCATGTCGATGTTTGTCTGTATAGGAAGGAAATGGTGTTCAGCTTTGCCGAGTTTACTTTTTGGTCAGTTGATACAGGTTGTATTTGAGATCACTTTGCTTTCTGCATCCATTGAGTTTACTGTGAAAGATTTGCGTCATTGTCCATTTTCAAAAAGTAATGTATTTACATAGTTGTAATTTAAATTACTTATATTGTAAGCTATGTTGCCTTGAACTGTTTAAGTCAAGGTAAAGTGATCCTTGAATTTGGTTTTATTTGCTGTCAATGTAAATGTTGTCTAATCTAATCTGCTTTTTTTAAATGTAATTAACGTTTTGAAGATACTTAACGGCATTCATCTCGAAATACAATTTTATTCTAAGGTTACCGTATCCAGAACCTTTAGATACCTTATGGATTGGAGGCTAATTAAAAATTTTATTTAATATACTTTTATGTATGAGACTTTAGCATGTTACCCTTTCCAAATAGGAAAGGATTGGAGATGCTTCTAAATCTACTTGAGATGTTCATTGTCCATTCATAAGTG